AAATTAGATTTAAAAAGGAAAAGCTCAAATTGCTGATGATGGAGGCAGCTGCAGCTGCAGCGTGAGATTATCAGAGTTCCCCTTCACAAGTCTGTAAAATCAAAACGTTCAGAGTCAGTTAAAATGATCCACTGGATTTTGGCATGAAAGGAGAGGCTCAACTAAAAAACTGCACCCAGAAAACTGCATCCAGCTCTTTCCTTCAGCAAATGTACAAGCAGCTGTGCCTGTCAGTGCCCAGCCACTGTGAGGCTCAAGGTCCAACCCTGCTCTTGCTGGGGAGTCAGAGAGCACCAATGGACAGGGAAGGGGATTGTGCCGAGCTCGGACCTTCCTCACGGTGAGAGGCAGTGATACAAGAAAAAGAAAAGGGTTGTCTCCCCTCACTAGTGGCAGCAGAGGCTGATGGCAGAGTTGGGAGCAGCAGCTGTGACCTCCACATCTGCAGAGCTCACGTGATTCAGAACCTGTGGAAACCAAGGCTCACACCCCCACTCATTGCTCATTTTCCTTTTTCCCTCTTGTGTGGGCAAACGTGCATTTTCCCTGTCCTCCATGGGAAGGGGCCTGAAGCCACTGAGCTGGCAAAGTGGAACTGTGTGGTTATTGCAAGGCACAGGCCAGCCCCAACCTGCTCCTGGTGCTCCTGGTGCTCTCTGCCAGCCCACAGCACAGCACAGCACAGCAGGCACTCGTGACATCCCACCCCACCCTGCAGCCAGCACTGTGGACTCCCCATCTCCGTGTGTAGGATCCTCTAACTCCCAACCTGACCCCAGCAACTCCACGTTCTACCCATCCCCAGTTCCTGAACTCTACCCCCTAAGGTACCTGCTGTCACACCTCCCACCTGTGCCCCTGTCCTGCCCCGCTGCTGTCACACACCCCTGCACCCCTGCTCTGGCTGCCAGCCCATCCCACTCCTGCCCAGTGACCAGCTCAGCCCCAGTGCCACAGGAGAGGCTCCCCACTCGTGTGCTCTGCAGTGGTGACAAAGGGGACGTGCCCATCCCAGGAGGGAGCACAAAGCCCCAGCAGGAGCAGAGTCCCCCCAGGACAGAGGCAGAGAGCTGGCTCTGCTTTCCTTGAGCACAGAGTGCCAGTGGCAGAGGGAGGCACTTTGCTGGAATTCTGGTGGGTTTATCTCTTTTTGTTCTTCCTTCTTTTTGCCTCCAAGCTTCCCATTCCCAAACACTCCCAAAGGAAGTGAGGTGACACAGTGCAGGAGCTGGGAGGAGATGCTTTTTGGCAGAAGACTGGAAATTAAATAGGAGTAAAGGCAGGCTGGACCTTTCTCCTGATTCCCACCAGAGCAGAAGCTCCTTTTAACCACTACAAAACCCAAGCTGAGGCAGTAACAGCTGGAGCCCAACACACACTCCTACATTCTCCCTGTCCTACTCTTCCCCACACACAATATTTACAGGCTATAAAGCTGCCCACTGTCCTGGCCACCCTTCCTCTCCATCTGCCAGCAGTCAGTCCAGTGTTGTCCCAGTTTGGGATGTGCCCCAGTGCACTGTTGGGTGAGAGCGACGGCGGCCCACGGCCCCAGAGGAGTCAGCTGGCCACAGAGCTCAGGGGAGCTCGTCCCATGCAGAGTCTGTAGGCAGGGGGGCAGCCTGCTGCTGTCCCTGGAGCTCCGAGGGGCTGTGCCAGGCCAGGC